TACTAAATAGACATGATTTTTATGTAAAATAAAAAAGTTAAATTAAGGTGATCAAGGTTTAATCAATTAATGTTGTCAACTTTGTATTATTGATCATTTTTATTTCTATATCAAAGAAATAATAAATTGTCCGTTAACCGATTTCGTATATTTCCAGTGTTTAAATTATATACGCGTATGTAAAAATTAAGATTATTTCAACAGTTTATTACAATTATTTATAAATATAAGTGATGCACAATGATACCGTATTTTGATATCGATATTGGACTAATTTTAATTATATCGATGTGACTAATTTATCGAAAGTATTTAGATATCGATACCGAAAATCGTCATAAATTCATATTTTCCATATACGAAAAGTATTTTTTTAATGCAACAATTCCAAAAAAAATCCATCAATACATTTTTATTAAGTTTGGTATTGCATTTTGCCTTATAAATTATATCTAGAAGTGGATTTAACTTCGGAAAAATTTCAATAAATATGCATCAAATTTTAATGAAAATTTACAGGTACAATGATAATTTTTTATAAACCACCATTATTAAAACTAACGTTTGGACAGTTAAGTACATCCATTAATTACATAATTTTTAATAAATATAAAATAAGAATTTTTTTTATATGCATTATGTCTTTTAATAAAACATTACAACATTTGCAGCTCTAGACAACTGCCCACTCTGTCTTGTTGGAAATCCGTCTCTGATTAAATCGATTTATCGTTTTTCGATATTGGTATCGTTTGTATTTAATATTGCTATACGATATTGATATAATGAACAGATATCTATAGTTGAAAATATATCTTTGCGCTATACTAATAAATATTATAATATATTGGTATTTTATTTTTGCTCTCAATTTTTTTTCAGTTTTTATATTTCAGAATAAAATATTTTTCTTACTTTTTATAAAAGTTTCTTTTCATCTTTGGTAAAGTTCTTTTTTAATAATAATTTTACTAATATGTTCACTTTTAGCTCGGCGAAATATTTCCTAACCTTTCTTCTGGAATATATTATACTAATTAAAACGAATATTAAACAATAAATATTTTCTTAAAATTATAATTTTTAGTGGTGACTGTTTATTCGATGGAAAGTTAATATTTATTTATTCCATTTCATTCAAAATGTGACAAAAATTTTACTTTTGACAAAGTTTCTCCATTGATGGTATATAATTTTTAATATCTTAACTTTCCTCTTTCCCATTAGAAACCACAGACATCCGTTCGACACGTCTTGCACTATTGTTATAATATTCCAAATGCAATTTTCTATGTTCAATTCCGTAAATTCTACCACCTCTTTTCCATTGCCTTATTGTACCGTCGTACACATAATGTTTTCCAATTCACCTTACTCCGTATGACCTATAAAAGTATACGTTTTTTGGATTTCACGATTGAATTGTTCCACCAGAATAAGTCGTGTGCATAAAATGGTGATATAAGCTTGGAAGATTTCAAAAAACAGAAATATATCTAGAGTCTGAATCTTAAATATTTTATCTTAGATGTACGAAAAAAATGGACACTTGTTGATGGCTAATCGCGTTATACGCCACTGGGTTGTAAATAGTAATAAAATATTTTTTTTCTTTTTAGCAATATTTTTATAAGACATGATTTTGATTTTATTTATATTTTATAAAGTTAAAATTAATATTTTATTTAATTACGAAATAATATTTAGTACATGAGTTTATCATGTGAAACGAATAAAATATTTAGAGTAACTCATTGTAAGCATAAAAATAAATGTATTTGAGTATATTGGGAGAAACTTATTTTATTTAAATAGTTTTTGAAAGATTAAAAATGATCTTGTGAGAATGACTCTGTATAGTATTTGAATCTTTAAATGAGAAGTTTTACATTATATAACTTTTTATATGATTATCTTGCTGCAATAATTTCCATGTTACTTAAGATGTTTATTTCAGTTTTTTTTTATCGATAATATTAAAATACTATAATAAAGGTATATGTTATCTATTGTAATATTTTATATTATTATAAAGTCTGCTATATTCAGATTCGAGGATTCAAGATTTTTGTTTGTTTTAATGACAATTCAAAATCATATTTATAATTGTAACTGATATTGTATAGCTCAATATTAGTATATATATACACACTACTATATATACTTGTGTTAATAAAAAAAAATATTGATGTGATTTATGTTATCTATTTTAAGAACTTTAAATATTTTGGAGAGATTCTAAGATGTATTTGGGTTACGGGTATCTTGAATCGGTAGTATTATGTATTTTATTAATTCGTATGATTTTATATTATAACATTGAATACGGATAAGAGTTTTTTAATTTCATTAGATGTACCAAAGGTAGTTTTGATTATTTAATTTGCAATTGTATTATTATATTATTGATTTTTCTTTAATGGTATGCTATTTGTTTTTGATTAAATTTTTTCTTTTTCTTTTTAAACTTGTTTGTGATAATAATTTTTTTCAAAATATACATCGTGTATAAGTTACAGCTGTACATGTTTGAAGTATTCTAAATAAGTATTCATACTTTTATGTATTTACAAAAATATTTTGATGGTGTGATTGCTCCGTTAGTTAATGTGTCAAATTTCATTTTTCGAGGTATTAGTATGTCATGGAACAAACACTAATTCGATTGTTTTTCAGGATTAAGTAACAATATTGCTTATTTGATGGATAAACTCATTGATAAGGTTTGAAGTTTTTGCAGCAATTGGTGCTCAAATCCACTATTCGTAATGGTCATTTTTATTCTATAATTTATATTTATTGAATTGCATTTATTCGTATAAACTTTATACTATTATTATTATTATTATTATTTTTTTTTTTGATAATACCTAATTAAATTTATTTTAATTGTTACATTTTGCTCTTCCCAGAAATTTCATTGTAATTGGTAACTATTTTTAGAAATACCTTATAAAGGGTGCGTATATTATCTTGAAGATTACTGGTTCGAATTTTTGTTAAATAAATAAAATGACATTTTTTTTCTTCTAATAAGTTATTCAACTTAAAATATTTGATTTCAAGGTTTTATTTGGAAATGTAAGTTTTGTTTACATAAATATTTTTTGATTAATTTGTATTCTAGTTTTGAAATATTTAAATATAATGTTCAGAAATACTAAATTGAAGCTTTTTTTTTTTTAATTTAAATTGTTCTTATTAATAAATCCAGTTTTTAGAAACATGTTTGTTGTAAATTTATTCTAAATAATTTCATAATAAAGTATTTTTTTAAATAAATTATTTTCCTTGTGATTTTTTTCTGAAATATTTAATATTTTCAAACATGTATTTTATAAATATATTTTTATGGTTTACTTGTACGAATAAAAATATTCATAATTGTTGTCACTATTGATATATTTTGTAGTAGTTTTAAATTTGTTGGGGATGATAATTCAAAGATGTATGACAAACATTTTACAATTTTATCCTAAGATTGCATTAAAATTACGATTAATATACATCATATTATTTTAAAGAACTTTGTAGAAATTTTAATTTCATGTTTTGATGTTTAATTTGGATAAAAGCTGAAGTTAGATAGGTATAATAATAAACACACAATATAAGTGTTCATAGAATATAATATATGTACATAAGACAATCCTTTAAATGGGTTTTTCAAGGTTTTGTATTTAGTAATTTGCAAATGTGTCGGATGTACTTTGACACACACGTGACCTAAGAGTTGTAGACATTGATTTGATCATTACCAACACATGGTAGGTTCTATCTAAGTAATTGGTTTGCGAAGTTGACCCGAAGTTTTCAGTAGTCAGTGGACCATGCATATACAGTGAACACCTACAAAGACTTCGCCTAATTCAAAGTTACAGAATGGAATTACTCCTATTCCAGCGTTTGTGTAATACAATTGTTTTAAATAAAATTGGACTGTATATTCAAAACTCTTTTCGATCATGGTTTACCGTGCATAAATAAAAGTAATATTTTAATAATCAATGCCGCTTTAGCGGAAAAAGTCCGTTGTATTTTCAAAAACTTGGCGATAGGAAATACTATATAATATATATATAACCCATCTGCGTGATGCTTTGTATCACTTTGTATTGCGCAGGTCGACTTTAATGTGTAAAACGTACGTGTTCGCTTTTATTGCCTGGCGACCGTTGGGTTATGTGCAGAAACCTGACTTAACCCAACTCGCGACGACTATATTTTAAACGAATAATGATAACAAATATGATGATAACGCGGTAAAAGTTGAGCGAAACGAAAATCGAGTCAGCGGCGGCATGACGGGTGGTGTCGGGTGGATTTTGATGGGACTGGATCGAGGTACACTATATGCGCGACCCAGACACGGAAAAGAAAGCAATTTCGAATGGAATTCAATAGCGTGTGCGACCACGTACGTATTATATTGTTGCGCAGTAGCAGCAATAATAGCAGCTGTACTTACGATCGGTCGTACACGGAAAATTTGATCATTTTCCCTTCAATCGGTGCACATTGTTTTTTTTTTCAGGTGTACACAACTCGACGTCGGCGAGTTTTGTTAATATTACCAACGTGTAGGACGATTAAACCTTATTTCGCACAGTATGTTTGTTGTAAGTATAGTGACAACGATGACGAAAAAATTGCGTCGTCATTGTAACATATAACAGATACTGTCATTGGAGGAGGAAATGGATAAAACACAAGTGTTTTTCGTTGCGAGTGATCATATTATCTTTTAATAATTGTTATAGACACCTTTATACTAACGTGAAAGTTTTAATCGAACGACAGCGAAATACAGGCATTAAAGCTCTTCGGGCCGATGAAAAACCGTCGTGTAATAATTCGTAGTGATAATATGTGCGGATCGATATTGTACTGATAAACGGGACGACGACGTCGGTAGTCGCGTCTTATCGACACTGCCGCCGTTCGGATGATATTGTCGCTGCTACCACCGCCGTCGCTGTCACCGACGTTGCTCTGATAACATGGAATCGTTGGAGCGGTGGATGCGGATAGGCGGCAGCAGGGCGCCAAGTAACGTGGTCGGTGAAGTGGTAGCCGGCGTAGGAGCGGGCGGAACAACCGTCGGCCAGGCGCCAACGCTGGTGTCCGCCGCCGCCGCTGCCGCCGCCGCCACCGCAGCAGCAGCAGCAGCCGCCGCTGCCGCACAGCCGTCACCCGGTGTCGCGGCGCTTGTCCGAAAGGGTCGGCGCCATCTGAGCGCTACGTTCTGCCTGGCCGGTGACACCATGGAAGGCATCATACAGTGCCTGGTCTTCCTCAAGGCGTTTTCGGTACGTTTTTTCTTCAATCACATGGTCATGATGCGCGCGTTGTCGTATTGCCGACATGCATATCAGTGGTGATCGACTTCATTTTTTATTTTATTTTATTTTTTCACCGAAGACGGTATAAAAAAAATAAGAAAAATAACCTTTTTTTTTTTTTTTTTGGTCGGTCAAACGTTTCAGACATTTCTTCTGTTTAACAGAACGGGTAATACGTAGGTATAGGCGTTTTAAATATATTGTTTATTCACGTTTCTCGTAAATTTTCATGTTTACGATGTTGTGATAATTATAAATAAAAAAAATAATATATTAAGTTAACATTTTTTTTTTTTTTTTGTTGAAATTTATCGATTTTGTTGCTAAACAAATTCATTGAAAACCTTGTTTTTACACAAATTTTGAATTCTTATTTGTCAAAACTACCCGAAGAATTCTATTATTATTTTAATAATTTATTCAAATACTTTAGCGGGCCAAGTTGATACATGATTGTGGGCTGTAATTGGAAATTACTGTGGTACACCGTTACCCATCTACATGTATACCATTTAAAGTTATGAACTTATAAATTAGTGATTATAAAAACCTATATAGGAATCGGTTGTTTTTAGATTATTACACTCTATTACCAGTACGAAAAACAAATATTGACGCTTACGTCTTGGAAAATAATTTATCTTATCGTTGGATTTCGGATTTTTGAAAGTTTAGTTTAATTATTACGAATTATATAATTATATCATTCTTTTAATCGACTAATATATAATTATAATATACTTACTATCCCCAACTTCCGTAAAATTGTGTGATTCATGTTAATCAATATAGTACATTAATTTATATATTGCGACAGTAATAAACAATAATATTATATACTACATTATAGTTTATGAAATGTATGAATTATTATTTTCTATTCATTTTATTAAATGAAAAACATGCATTTTCATTGATAAAACTCGTATTTTACGATTTTCCACTTATTACAATTAATAACACAGCCGTTATGAATTACTAAAGATTCTTTTTATTTTTGTTACGTGTAAATATTTACTAAAAATTGATTGAATACAGATATTAAGTTTATACAGTTAATGTTTGTAAAAATTCATAGTACATATAATCTTTTAGTTGATAACTAAGTACTTTTTTTGAGATTTTTTATTCAATGTTTTATTTATTGTACACTTTTCATACTTTATAATATCCATTCAATAACAATAGTATACTTATTGGTATTACAAGTTGAAAATTATGTAATAAAATAGAAAATTTCCGTTTGGTTCTAAAATGTAAAGCTTTGTAAATACTGTAAAAGGTTTTTACGTTTTTATGAGGCATAAGTACAAAAAGGGTCTAAACAATTAATGTGTTGTATCGTGTCCAAATGGCTTAGAGGGTTAAGGTCCTAAAAATATCTGCAATGAAAAAGTTAACAGAATGACCTTTTGCACGTGACCTAACTGAATTTCGTTCTAAAATACGACCAAACGCTCTTATTAAATTTTATTGGTTGAAACATAAATAATATAATGTCTGGTTGGCGGTGTACTGTAAAAGTACACTTAAAATGCATTTTTTACTTTGAAATGTTGTGTGTCAAAATTAAAATTTGAATAAGGGAATATAACATCATTGTCAAGGGAATACCAAGAGTAAACAATACTCGTTTGTATTAAATGTCTATGTTGTATCAAATGCATAATAAAAATTATATTATATCACATACAATTATTAAAGGATTTGCCTACTCGATATATTTTATTATTATGATGTCATTAAAATTGGCATATTAAAATATATTTTGTCACTTTAATGTGTTTTTGCCTAGCTAGTGTTTTAATTTGTGGATTTTATGTATCTTTACATTTTTCTTTCTAGTGAAGTTAATGCACTAGTCTGCAGTTTTCTAAACAAATATCGTTACATATAATGATCATTTTTAAATTATTGATTTGTATCTGATAGATATGATTTATGAGTTGTTTATTTAAACTACAGTGTATACAGGCTAATAGTGGCAAAACAATTAGTTCTTAATAATATCGTAAAATACATGTACTATAGACGTATTATATTTTATAAATTCAGTGGATAAAATTTATTGAGTTCAAATATGAATAAATACATCATACCTTCATTGGACCACATTATTATTTGAAATTTGTACTTAACAAGGCATTTATGATTCTTTAGCTATCAGTTGTCATTATTTAAAAAATAATATAATGTAGGTATACTATATAGGTAGGTACCATATATGTTTAATTTACTACTAATTTGCTTTTTAATTTTGTTACATAATGATTTTATAGTGAACATAAAACATATATACATTATGAATCATTGTACTTATGTATATGTTCATTCAATGTCGGTTCAATAATAATTCGAATTTAAATTATTGTAATGTAGTGTAATAAAGTTTGACTGTGATTTGAGTTTCTACAGTTATACTCCTATTGTGAAGCTTTAAAATCTGAAAATGTAGAGTCGATTAATTAATTAAATTATGTTAATTTAGCAATGTGAAAACTGCCAGTTGGTTGGATGTGAGATAAATGCGTCAACAAAATATTTCTATTGGTCATTGAGTATTTGAGTATTTAAATTCTAGTACTTTTTCAGTCTAAAATGTTCATTTATTATTTTGTTTATAATCATTCAGCTTTTGTTACTTTGAACTTTTTGTGTATTTTTGTATACTTCGACATTAATTAGTATAATTAGATTTAGAGAAAAGTATTTTTGATTTGTTGAGTTATATAACAATGGTGATTGAATTGTTTTGCATATTACCAAATTTCCTAATAAATGATGATATTATAATATGCGTATTATATATTATTTTATTTTTATTTATTTTTACAATGTTCGAATAAATTAAACTGTCAATTTGCTTATGGATTTTCACGTAATATTTTATCAAATACATTTTTTTTCAACATAAAGCGTATTGGTTTCATTTATTTTCAAAAATAGTTGTATAATATCAAATTGTTGTTTGCTATTGATTCTATTATGTCATGAATGTATCATCTTTGATTTTACTTGTAAAGTATATTTAATTTATACAAATATAAGTAAATAAATGCGAAGTGTAATTTATAGTTAAACGAATTAAATATATCAAAGTAAATTATGAACTTCAAAATATTGGTGGGCTAATTAATTTATCTATTTTACTGATGTTCATTCTTCATTTAAAGGACAATTTCTTAGCTGCTTTTAAACCGTTATGCAATAGCTTTGAAATTAGAAATCTCACAAATGTTAATTTTTTAGTTTAAGTTTATTTTGAAGAACTGTGGTAAATATTTAAGTGGACAATTTTATCTACGTTGAGCAATTATAAAATTAATTAACTCTTGTTTTTCGAATTGTTCAAAATTAAAAACCTTTTTGACTTTAAAAGTTTCTGTTCTTATTATGAATTAACATTGCATGTTGCACAATTAATACAGTTTGAGAGTCTTAATGTTATATATTTTGTTGTGTTAAACGCTATTTATTGTCTCTCATAAGCTAATTAATCTAATGAGGAAAAATGTAAATTTTTTTATTTGTGTCATCACTAACTGTACCACGCGTTTAATTTAAGTGTGTAAAAATATAATATTTATATGTACAAGGATTCCACGACTTTGTGTAGAAATGGCCGCTCCGTTAGCAGGAAAACCTATGAAACTTTTTGAATCTGTTTGCATCCGTTGCCTCAATCATACTCTTCAAACCTTACTCGGAGAACACCGATTTACTGGTTTTTCAACCTTTCTCTCTTTTTCAATCCACACAAAAGACAATGGCCATAATAATTTATGACTTGTGTGTTTTTGTGACAGTGTCAACATTTCTATGTGGTTTTTCGCCGTCCGGTATATGTTTCGTCTTAGTACTAAAATTTTTAGAATTAAATTGTTAATTTATAATTGATCTTGACTCGTTTTGATATTTGAAGTAAAATATTCATTATTTTTGTAGTTATTACTACTTATTAATATTATTATTATTTATATCAATGCCCAAATTTACGTTTATTTAAAACATGTACCTAATGTACTCGTAACTATATGTAATGAAATATAGAACATAATGTTATATTAAATATACAGTATGATTCCATATCAAATCGTTCTATTTGAGTTAATATTTTTTTGGTAAAAAAAATATCTATTATTTAAATGTTGTCGTAATATATTGATTGGTTCGAAATTAGTAGTAATTTATATAATTTTTAAGCAATGTATTATTAAATATATTTTAAAATATGTACCATATGATTTAAGCATTAGAAGGTATAGAATAATGTAAACTGTGTGTGCAAAACTTTTTCGATCTACTATACATCTGTTATTTTATTTTTTACCTGTAATTCATAGTTCGTTACACATGACGGAAAAAACCGATGGTTATAATCTATGGAAATTTATTCCAAAATATAAAGAAATAGACATGATTTGAAAGTACTGAAAGTAGCATTTTTATTTTGAACAGCACTATTATTTTAAATTTACTGAGTTTTTGGAGGTTGTATATAAACGATGATATGGATAATTAATCGTTGATAAAACCGTATTAAATTAAACTTGCTATTATAAAAAAGTATATTGATATTTATAGAGTCATTATTTCATATTGTGTTGAAGAACTGTTTTAATTTTAATTTAATTTAATTTGATTAATTATTGGTTTTATTTACTTATTTTCTTAAACATCATTCATTTGTTTTATTATTTTTAGTAAATATATAATTTTTCGTTTTATCTCATAAAATTCTACAAAATCATTTCCTTGAACAAGTCTGTTGTTTTTTCACATTAAGGACATGTCACTTTTCGATCGGTATAATTTTCTATTATAACGCATCGGTGAGGACGTTTTAGTTGCTGACCAGAATTGTACATACGAGTTACGTGTAAAATATTACAGAGGGTGTAAGGTTAATGAATATCCCTTTTTAACCCTTAAAACTGTTGTTAAATTTCCCGGAAACGCGCACTTTG